GGAAGGGGGGCTCTGTCCTGTACACAGGGGGGAAGGGGGGCTCTGTCCTGTACACAGGGGGGAAGGGGGGCTCTGTTCTGTACATGGGGACCTCTGTCCTATACACGGGGATCCTCTATCTTGTACACAGGGGGGCCTCTGCCCTGTACACGGGGGGCTCTGTCCTGTACATGGGGGGCTCTGTCCTGTACACGGGGGACTCTATCCTATACACAGGGAGGTCTCTGCCCTGTACATGGGGGGCTCTGTCCTGTACATGGGGCCTCTGTCCTGTACACGGGGGACCTCTGCCCTGTACACAGGGGCCTCTGTCCTGTACACGCAAGGGGCCTCTGTCCTATACATGTGAGGGGCCTCTGTCCTGTACACGGGGGGCTCTGTCCTGTACACGGGGCTCTGTCCTATACACAGGGGCCTCTGTCCTGTACACGTGAGGGGCCTCTGTCCTGTACACAGGGGGCTCTGTCCTGTACACAGGGGCTCTGTCCTGTACACGCAGGGGTGGGGATGCTCTGTCCTATTGTCACAGGGACCTTTGTTCAACGTACTCAAGGTTCAAAAGAGACGTAGACCTGCGTCCTACCTGTAGAAAATGTATGTGTGTGCAGAAAGTTAGGGAAGGACTAGGGTTAGGGCTAGAGCGTGAGGGTCTGACAGGAACACACAGGTGAACCTTGAAGGTTCAGAAGGCCCTGAGCAATGGGCACTCTCCCGGGGGCTTTCTGATGCTCTGGGCAAAAGGACAGGTTGGCCGGAACCCGTGTCTGCCACCACCACAGCCAGGGCGTCCCCGGAACGCCGTGAAGTGTCCCTGGCCCGCCCTGAGATGGCTGCAGAGGGGGGCGGGGGTGGGCAGGAGTGGCGGTCCCTTCATGTGCCAGGCCTCCTCCAGCGAGGGAAGGGCCGGCCCTGCTGACACTGTGCTTACATGCCTGTACCTCACACGCCTGGCTCCAGGGCAGAGGGCTGATGGGGCATGACAGGTGTCATATGCCTGTCCAGGATGAGAAGGCAGGGCAGGCCGGATGGAGTGTGGGCTTTGGGATCAGATGGACTGCGGCTCATGCCTCTCCGTGCTCACACTGAGACTCCCTGAAAGAGTCCCTCGTGGATGGGAGAGAAGTTGTACTACCCAGGCAAGGCGAGCCAGAATCCAGGGTGACCCCACTGCTCAGAGACCAGCCCGGTGTCTGGCTCTTGCTATATTTGGGGCTCAGTCTCCTGTGAGTCTGGCTAACAGGAGTCAGTCTCCTGCACTAGGTGTAGGAAAACAACAGTGCTGAGCGAGGGGGCTCCCGGGGAAAAGAGCAGGGCAAGTGCAGGCTCCCAGGACCGCCCTGCCTGGTGGTGTGTGGTCCAAGGGCGCTGCGCTCAAGAGCCTGTCACGAAGCACACGTCTGTTCAGACTCCTACACCCCAGGGACAAACCCGGGTGCCCGGCAACAATGCGACAAGCACGGACCGCCTGTCCGGCAGCGTCTCTACAAGATGATGTGCACCAGTGTTTCCTGGCATGGGCTGGAACCCGCGAGGGGGGTCTCTGCTACTACTGTCTCGCAGAAGGACATGAGCCTGACCCCAGGAGGCTGTGCGGGCCTGCAGGGCGGATGCATGGTGAGCCAGCGGGGCCAGGCAGCCGAGCTGTGCATGGTCGCAGAGGAATGGCCAGAATGGCCTGGCAGCCACAGGAGGCACTAGATACGACAGGGTCCTGCTGGTGTTGGACACACTCTGTCTGTCTGTCCATGCTGTGCATGGACACCAACCTGGAAGGCTGAAAGCACACCCCAGTGACAGGTGACCACTGGGGTGGGTGAGGACTAATGCTGTCTCCCGGCAGCCTCCATCATGTGGACTTTTTTGACGAGCGTGTACTGCTTGACAAAGTGAAGGCCCAGTCACAGTAAAGACAGACTATGGAGAGGAGCCACGATCCGGCCGCTGGGAGCACGTCCTGCCCGGCCCGTGGCCAGGGCGTGGGATGGGCACTGGGGCTGCAGCTGCTGGCGACAGGCCTCCCTGGACTGGGCTGGCTCTTTGGAGACAATAATTTCAGGCAGTGGCTGAGGGCCAGGGCCCCCTGCTGGCTGTGCCCGCAGATTTCTGAGAGCCACGCCCTTGCCCGGATGGCTACTCCAGTACTTCGCTTGGAACGTGAGCTGCACCCTAAGACTTGTTACAGAATGACACCCGCAGGGTGCGGAGAAGTGAGGCACCTTGGAAAGCTGCCTGGAGGGAAGGCGACCGCCCTGCGTGGTGTCCCCCTGGCCACGTCCCTCTGTCAGCTGTGACATTGCAGCAGAACTGAGAGCTCCCTGACCTCGGCGGCTGCCAGTCCCTAACATACCCCTCAGACTGCCTGGGCCCCAAAGCCCATGCCACTGGTACGGCTCAGGCCGAGGAGTGGGCGAGTGATGAGGAGTGACCTCACCGTCTCCACTGACCATGGGCAGGAACGGGAAGGCCCTGACTGGCCCCACTAGCACGTGGGTGGGGGCATGTGACCCTCCAGGAAAGGTGAGAAGCTTCTGAGCCCCTGGCAGGCGCCCAGGGAACAGTCGAGGTGGGCTGGGGTGCCAAGGGGGCCGTAGCAGCGCCACCCGCCCACCAGGCCTTTGGGGATGCGGACCGGCCTCTCCCGGAGGAGGCACCAGCCGCGAGGTAGCCGTACCTGTGGTGAACCTTGGCTTGGCGGGCGGCTCCTGGACGGTGACAGGGAAGGTGGCCGAGGCCGGGGAGGACTGCGCTCGGGACAGAGGCCTGTGGCCGCCGAAGGACACGGGGATGCCGGCAGCCTCCAGGGACGCCTGGTAGTTGCGCAGCTGGTGGATGCGCTGCTGCTCCAGGAGGAGGGCTTGCTGCGGAGGGAGGGACCTCGAGGTGAGCGCGCGCCTGGTATTGGCGCAGCTGGTGGATGCGCTGCTGCTCCAGGAGGAGGGCTTGCTGCGGAGGGAGGAACCTCGAGGTGAGCGTGCCGCCCGAGCCGCCGCCCCTCGCCCATGGCCGCCCTGGCCTGGAGCCTGCCGAGCCCCTGCTCTGAGGAGTAAGGGCAGGGCACACTGGGCGGGCACGGGGCCGCTCTGCACACAGCCGCACAGATGGTCCTGCGTGGCGCCGAAGGTGCCCCTATGCTGGGCTTCTCCGTCGCTCGTGACAAGTGCAGTTGGGTCAAGCAGAGCCTGGCCCAGCTGTGGGGTGGGCAAGGAGGGCTTCCTGAGGAGGGGCTAGGCTGTGAGGAGCGGCCTGGACCAGCTAAGGGCTGGGGGCCTCGCCCTGCCTGGAGCCCCTGGGTCCCTGGGTGGCCTCCTGCAGGGACTTGGCAGCCCCCTCTGGCCATACAGGACGCAGAGAGGCCAACGCCGCACACCTGCAGTCCTGGTGGGTCACGTGGGCTGGACAGTGAGCTCAGGAGAGAGGGCGAGTCACAGCTGAGGGATGAAACCTCGTTTGCCCGCTGTTCCCCTCGCCCGCCTACCTGTCCTAGTCAGGGCTTGTGGCTGAGGCCAGCAGGGGCACTTCTTCGAGGAGGTGGAGTGGGGGTGTCACTCAGCAGAGGCCGGGGCACCCCGAGGGCTGGGGACGCAGACAGGACCCTGGGGCACCGTGAGGCGGGCGGGAGGCGGAATGAACTGCAGGAGTGAGGCAAGTCAGCCTCTCCCTGAGATGCCCCCAGCCCCTCGTGTAGCGAGCAGAGCGAGGGCAGCAGGATGGCTACAGGACAGGCTGCGGGACGGGACGTGCCAGCCCCTCCCGCCTGGCAAGCCCTCCTAGCCCCAAGGTTCTGGAGGCTCCTCATACCCAGCTCCTGGGTGAGCGGCTGGGCCTGGCCCTGTGACCAGAGGGACAGTGGGAACTGGGCCTGGAAGGAGCTTCAGGTGCCCCCGGGATTAGTGACTGGCTTTCTGACACGCAGTGGCCATGTGGCCACCTCGTCTGCTGCTCGTTTCTGCACGCTGCTGCATGCCTCCGGGTTCCCCGACCCAGAACTTTGCTTTTCTCCAGTGGAAACGTAACAGAAGCGACCCTAACCCTGTCTCGTGCTGGCTCGGATAAGTGCGGAGAGCTTCCTCTTGAACGAGGCTCCAGCCCCGGAAGCCACGTACCAAATCCTTCGTCTCCTACGAGCAGAAGAGCCACGTGCTGAGGTTCGGAAATGCTCCAGCACCCCCAGGCCCGGGAAGGAGGGGAGCCGCTGCCTCACACCTGGCAAGCAGGGCAGACACAGCGTTCTATGCCTGTGCCACAGAGAGGCCGGAGGGCCCCTTTCCTCACCGTCACGAAGTGCTGCCTCTCTCAGACTTGGAAAAGCAGCGTGAGTATCCGCGGCCCTTGGGCAGTGGCCCCAGGAACCAGATGGGCCACCCTCGAAAACCAGAAGGTCATAGTGACGCCTGCTGCTTGGATGGAGCAGAGCTGGGGCCTGAGCTGCCTAGGGCGGGCAGGTGCGGGGCTCCCGGGCCCAGTCAGACCCGGAGCTGCAGGCGGAGGAAGGCAGACTGGCCACGATAGTCCCGTCCCTGTCTGCCAGGAGCTTCGGGCCACGTGCCTGGACTGTCAAGGAGCTGGGGATGAGCTAACGGCCCTGGACCCGGGTGCAGGCCCAGGCATCCAGCCCCACTGCTCGAGGACACTACCAGACTGCCTGCTCCGTGTCCCCTGCCTCGTCTCCTGATCCTCAGGGAGGGGCCCTTCAATGCCACACGGGGCTTCTGCCTCACTGCCCAAGAGACCCACGTGTTTCTGTAGGCTTGGCTGTTATTTTTCTCTGAAAATTCGACCATTCGCTGAGCTTCTTCACCAGTCTCACGTGCGTCAGTGCCCGGACCCTCACTGGCTCTGGACACCATGTCACACTGCGCTGGGTCTGGAAGGCTGGTCACCAGCACCTCCTTCCCTAGCCCTGGCTCTGGACAGACCCCCGTCTACTGTTTTCATCATTCATAAATTGGTTTCCTTCGCACCATCTTGCATGGTGAATCCAAGAGGCTGCGTTCCTCTGCATGGACTATTCTGCAGCCTACCGACCTGAAGGAAGCCACCACCCTGGGGCCTTGGGATCCAGAAATCAGGGACATGCATTCCCAGAGGGGCCGATGTCCTGTCCCTCGGTGAGGTTCATGTAAACTAGGAACCAATCTCTCTCCCACCTGGCCACCAAAAAGCTGGGCAGCCTGAACGTGGGAGCGGAGGCCCTCTGCCCCGATCACACAGAGGTGGCGGCCTGCAGGTCTCACGGTGGCCCTGTGTGCCCGGCCGTGCAGTCACCTGTCTGAAGAGCAGCTCCTGCTCGGTGGGCTGCCGCTGGCCGTGCTCGCCCTCCCGCGGGGGCTCCGCCTCTTCCTCGTCGCTCTCCACAGGCTCCTGCTTCACCTGCACGCCGGCCAGCACCAGCGCCTCCTTCTGCCCTGGGAGTCGGTCGGAGTACGGCTCGTCCACCAGGGCCTGGTGCTCACGGAGCTCCTCCTCCGTCTCCTCGGGGTGGCTCTCAGGCTGCCGGGCCGGCTCACCGGGCTTGGGGATCATCTGCAATGCAAAAAAAGAGGTGAGAGCAGCAGCCAGGGTGCCTGGGGCCAGACTCTGTCCTCTGGAATGGACAGCAGAGGACCCGGTGCGTCCGCGTCCTGTGCCAGGGTGGCGGTGTCCTCCACGCACCACACTGTGAGGAGGTGTGTAGAGGACACAGTGCTGTCCGCGGTGCTGAGGACAGGGTGCCTGTGGGACCGTCCCAGGCCAGGAGATGGGTGGGTGCCAGGCACTGAGAAGCCTGCAGTGAGTGGACGGTGTCACCTGGGCAGGCAGGGGCAAGCAGGGCACCGAGGCCACCCGGGCCAAGCGTGAGGACCAGCGCTGCACTGCCCTCCACCCACTACCCACGGAGGACAGCCAAAGCTCTGGCATGATGAACACCTCTGAGGAGAGTCCCCCATGAGAGAGCGGTGTCATGACAGTCCACCAGCCCTCTCCTGAGCCCTAAGGCAGATGTTCCTCTGAAAGGAGTGAGGCCTGCCGTCCCTGCCAGCAGAGGGGCTGGGCATGCCCACCTCCCTGGCCACAGTGGCCCTCTGCACTGCGCACCCCACTCCCGGGCTTCCAGGACCCTTGGCCAGGAGGTCGTCACTGCTCCTGTCTCAGCTGTCCTCAGGGCCAGGCGCAGTCTGACAGGCCATGGGGAGCCGCCTGCTGAGTGCCTAGGGCAGGACTGCTGAGAGTGCGGGGCCCCCGTGCACTCGCCAGAGACAGAGAGGGGGCCAAATGCACGTCTCCCCGGCATACATGTGCCTGGCGTGTTTCCTGTGCCAGTGAGTGTGGGATGCGGACCATGCGGCAGGCCATGGGACATCAGCTGCCTAGCCAGCCCCTGGCAGTGGTGTCTTCCATCGTCACCTGTCAAGGGGGTGCACTCGCCAGGAGGGACAGAGAGGGAGGGAAGCAGCCCCATGGGACAGTTATGCCACAATCCCTTTTCCATTTCTCCCTTTTTCCAGGATTTTGGGCATTCACACACACATGCCTGGCGTGTACCTTTAAGCCCGGGGCTGGGATTTGAACCACAGGGCTGGCCATGTGGAATCTAGCTGTCTTAACCACTAGGCTGTGGGGCTGGCCAACGACAGAATGCTGATTGGAGGACTTGGAGTGTGCTCTGCACAGAGGCGCAGAACAGGTCACTGAGGTCCCGGGGAGCACGGCCCCAGAGAGCCTGGAGGTGGTGGCAGCCAGGAGGGTCAGGAAAGGTCGGCCCTCCAGGGAGCAGGGACTTCTAACAGGCTGGCAGCTCAAGAAGCAAAGACGTGGCAACTGGGCCAGGGCCGTGGGCTTAGACCACAGGTCCCGGGACAGGGCACAGGTGTGCAGGGGCCCTCGGTGCAAACTTGGTTTTCCAGACACGAGCACCATAGGCTGGCATGTTCTTGGGGGAGGGGGGCTCCTGCCCACGCCACAGAGAGCTCCCAAGGCTCAGGGTGAGGATGGAGGATAAAGGGGCCTGCAGGGACGTGACCTCCAGAGGATTGGTGAGGTTGGGGGGGACAGAGGGGACAGGGGCCTGCAGGGACATGACCTCCGGAGGATCAGCGAGGTCTGGGAGACAGAGGGGACAGGGGCCTGCAGGGATGTGACCTCCGGAGGATCGGCGGGGTCGGGGGGGGACAGAGGGGACAGGGGCCTGCAGAGACGTGACCTCCGGAGGATCGGCGAGGTCAGGGGGGGGCAGAGGGGACAGGGGCCTGCAGAGACGTGACCTCCGGAGGATCGGCGAGGTCAGGGGGGGGCAGAGGGGACAGGGGCCTGCAGAGACGTGACCTCCGGAGGATCGGCGAGGTCAGGGGGGGGCAGAGGGGACAGGGGCCTGCAGAGACGTGACCTCCGGAGGATCGGCGAGGTCAGGGGGGGGCAGAGGGGACAGGGGCCTGCAGAGACGTGACCTCCGGAGGATCGGCGAGGTCAGGGGGGGGCAGAGGGGACAGGGGCCTGCAGAGACGTGACCTCCGGAGGATCGGCGAGGTCAGGGGGGACAGAGGGGACAGGAGCCTGCAGGGACGTGACCTCTGGAGGATCGGCAAGGTCAGTGGGGACAGAAAGGGTGGTAACCTGCAGAGATGTGACCTCCTGACTTCCATGACAGAGAATCTGCCACCACCAGGACTCCCGGAGGCCGGAATGTGCTGGAGCGCTAAGCCCTGGGTGGACCTGGTAGCACTTCCTGTCTGGAGGCACAGCGGCTCGAGGGAGACCCGGATGTCATCACGGCAGTGGCAGTCACTGTGGAGCACAGCCTCCGTGATGCTGGGCAGGCTACAGCACTTGGCGCCAGGGTCCAGCTTGTCACAGTCCGCCCTGTGGGCCACAGCCACTAACGGCCTCGCTCCCTCTCTGTCTCTGCCCCTGCTCAGCTTGTCTCTGGCTGGGCGAGGTGGCACCATGAGGTGGCTTTGGCAGGTGATGCTGACGGGTCGATGCGGCCTGAAGACACCAGTGCTAAGGCGGCAGTGAACCGGACAGACCGATCGGCTCTGCCACCAGAAGGCTGCTGGGCACCAGGGCTCCGCTTTTATCAACTTGGTCAGACCAAAACTCGTGGAGTTCAGGGCCAAAGCCAAACTGGTGAATAAGCCAGCATTTAAAAGCCACCGGGGACTCACAGTTAGCCCGCCTGAAGACAGACAAGCCCGAGTTCTCACGCTGGAAAGCGAGGCTGTGACGTGACAGGGACGGTCTGGGCCTGGCTCTGCGGGAGCACACAGTGAGTGAAGCACCGACACAGCACAGGTCCGAGGGACCCCCGAGTCGGCCAGCCCTCAGGGCCATCACCCCAGAGGGTTGGGTCAGGCAGTACTAGGTGAGATCGTCTTCTGAGCCTTCCAGCAAAACACCGTCAACACTTCAATCAACTGCCATTGAATTATAAGTCAATCACGCAGCCAGACCAGAGCGATTAAACGTGCTTTCTGAATCACTCAAGAGTGTACCACGCTTGAATGGGCATTGCCCGTCTTCCTCAAACCTCCTACCCATCACTCAGATAACGACGTAACAAAATAACACCCTAAGCTGGCACAGGAGAAAAGGACGGACTGCGCTCCTGACACCTTGAAGATGCTTGGCGGGCTCCTGTCCCGCCATGGCTGGCCAGCACGGTCTTCCTGTGAACTGGGACTCGCTCGGCGCCCCCCCTCCAGTCCTCACGGCTCTCTAGCAGAGGCCTGCAGGGATGGGGGACCTGGGCTGGTGCTGCTCTCTCAGAACAAGATGCCACCGAGCCAGACCTCCTCAGTGGTGTGTCCCCATCCTGCAACAAAGACACACAGGCCGGGTTCCAGAGCCTGCTGGCCGCTCCCCCAAGGAACATCCTCCGAGGCAGTCGCAGTCCAAGATGTCCGTGAAACCGACCCCGCTAGCCACTGCGAGGGGTTGCTGGCGCAGGTCAGGGCCAGCTGGACACAGCACTGTCCCCGTGGAGGGCGTGGGGACTTCCCTTCTCATAGCTGGGCCTCTGCACCTGCATGGGGACCTACAGTCACACGGTGTCACTTACTGACAAAGACACGGGGTCTTCCAAAGGTCACGGAGGACGTGTACTAGTCCAGCTACGTATGGACTTCAATTCTTCTGCACCAGACAAACTCGCTTTTATTCCATTTTCCCACAGACTTTCTCAAGTCCCCATGTATGTTCTGAGAAATGGGTCATCGTTTGGCGAGGCCCTCATGTGGACGTTGCAGTGTGCACTCACACACACCCGGATGGCAGGCCGAGGCCACATCCAGGCCCATGGCACAATCGTATGAAGTCATATCATGGGGCCTGACGCTGACCAGCCCGTCCTCTGAGGCCTGGTGCACCTGACCCCACGGGTCCCACCACGCAGCCGCTGACCGTCCTGTCCTGTGAGGCCTGGCGCACCTGACCTCATGGGTCCCACCACGCAGCCGCTGACCGGCCCGTCCCGTGAGGCCTGGCGCACCTGACCCCACCACGCAGCCTCTGACCGTCCCATCCCGTGAGGCCTGGTGCACCTGACCTCATGGGTCCCACCACGCAGCTGCTGACCATCCCATCCCATGAGGCCTGGCATACCTGACCCCACGGGTCCCACCACGTAGTCACTGACTGGCCCGTCCCGTGAGGCCAGGCGCACCTGACCCCATGGGTCCCACTACGCAGCTGGGAGACTCCTGGCCTTTCCTCCACATGCTTCATCCTTTGGGAAGCCAGAGGGCCTGGCCCTGCGAATGGGCAGAGGACCCATGAGCGGGATCCCCAAAGTCAGGGCAGCAACGGGCTCCCTGAGAAGATGACGCCTATGAGCCAACACGGCGGCCCTTCTCCAGGTCTGCAGGGCGTCCTGCGTGCTCCCGGGGAGGTCACCAAAAGCACCCTGCAGCGGTCCCACTGCTCGTTTCTGTTGTGTGACAGCTTCACGGAGAGGACTTGCCTAGCTCCCCGTTCCCAGCTCATTTCCAGTCGTGCCACCACCACCGCGATGGGGTTTCAGAGCACCTTCCTCACCCTTAAACAGGCGTGCCGAACCCGGTGGGGCTGTCCAGCCCCAGGCAGCCCCTCACCCACGCCCTGCGTCTGCGGACAGGTCCTGTGGATGAAGTCAGACACTGGGGCTTTCATGACAAGTTTCGGGGCTCGTCACATGGCAGCGTGCGTCAGCCCCGCACTCCCCTTAGGTGGTACAGAATAGCGGCCCCGCACTCATCCAGCCTCGGCCTGCCCCCCCCATGGAGCTGCTGGCATCCTGCCGTCAGCCTCCTGCGGAGCGTGGGCTGTCCCCACGAGGCTCACCATCGCTAACGTGACGGGTGCCTGACCCTGAACGCCAGTCCTGGGTAAGACTTCCGGGTCCCCTTGGTTACAGCACCTTCCCAACCCTCCTTCTTTTAAGAGACCTTTGCTGTAGGGCGTGCGCGCTCGCCAGAGTGACAGAGACGGGAAGTGAGAAATCATCCCCTGGGGGGTGGCCATGCCACGGTTCCTTCTCCATTCTCCTCTCGGGATCCGGGGCATGCACACATGCCTGACTTGAGTTTGAAGCCATCAGGTCCAGGACTCGAACCATGGTTGACCACGTGGGAGTCTAGTACCTTAACCATGCCACGACCTGAGTATTAACCTTTCTTACCGCTCCCTCCTGCAAACGCAAGCCCCAGCCCAGGGCTCTGCTGTGGGGCCTAATGGTTCCTCCTGGCCCTGTCAGGGTCAGAAGGGGCCAAAACGGACGAGAGCACACTTGACCTGGCTGCCCTAGGGGTCCAGGGCTGCGAGCCGGGCTGGCAGACCCACCTGGCTGGTGTGCAGCGGCCGCCCCAGGAGCTCAGGGCCGGGCCGGGCCCAGACCCACGTGGGAGACCTGGGCCAGGGGCGGCCGCAGACCCACCTTGCCCATGTGTAGCGGCTGCAGACCGCATGCGGGAGCCGGGGGCCGGGCGGGCGCAGACCCACCTTGCCCATGTGTAGCGGCTG